GTACCCATTCGTCGAGACATAATCATCAGAGTCACCTGTCCAGTCTGCATCGGAGAAAGCATAAAGTGTGAGGCTGTTTTTGGCGGAGAGGAAGATGCCATGTGTTGTAGTTCCTGCCAAGTAGCGGAGGATTCTTTTGGCAGCCTGCCAATGTTCTTCAGTTGGGCTGTGCATGAACTGGGAGAGGCGATTCACTGCATACGAGATATCGGGCCTAGTAAACGCCAAATACTGAAGGCTTCCGACAAGTTTTCTGTATGCAGTTGGGTCAGAGAACTTGGTTCCCGCTGTGAGGGTTAGTTTTGGTGAGCTCGCCATGGGGGCTGTGACTGGTTTGGCCTCTAACATGTTGTATCGATGAAGGAGATCGAGGATGTATTTCCTCTGCGATAGATGAAGCCCCGAGTTGGTTCGATGAGCCTCAATACCCAAGAAGTAGTTAAGATCTTCTGGATCTTTGATAGAAAATCGCTCAGCAAGAAAAGCAAGAATCTTAGCAATTCCAACTATGCTACTTCCAGTAACGAATATATCATCAATATATACAAGAAGGTAGAGATACTCGTTACCTAGCTGAAGAGTGAAGAGTGATGTATCAGACAGAGAATTCTGAAACCCGAGGGAGAGAAGAAACGTTTTCAGCTCGGTGTACCAGGCTCTCGGGGCCTGTTTCAGTCCGTAGATCGCCTTGCGTAGACGGCAGACGTGTGTGGGCTTGTCAGCGTCGAGAAAACCTGGCAGTTGTTCCATATATACCTCTTCAGTTAGCGTGCCCTGGAGAAAAGTGTTATTGACATCTAACTGCTGAATCGGCCAGGATTTGGTGACGGCAATATTCAGGACTAGTCGAATCGTGGTAGACTTGATGACAGGGCTAAACGTGTATGTGTAGTCTCGCCCGAGTTGCTGATTGTAGCCTTTCGCTACGAGACGCGCTTTGCAGCGATGATGTCGTCTAGTGGGAAGAAACTTGTTCTTGAATACCCACTTGCAACCCACAATGTTTTTGTTCGATGGTCTGGGGACCAGATCGAAGGTACCGTTCTCAGCGAATGCATCCATTTCTCCTGAAACAGCTCATCTCCATCGTTCGTCTCTCATAGCTTGTTTGATTGTCATCGGTTCCGGTGGGATGTCTGTGAAGAGAGCAGCGACTTTGGCGTACTTGGGGTTTGGTCGAACAATTTGGTTTTGCCCTCTTGTTACGATTTGGCAAGGAACTGGAGGAGGTGGAATTTTTCGACGAGGGATCGTCTGTTGGGAAGACGACGATGGGAGGGTTGAATTTGTGGAGTCACTTTGGGCCAAAGGAGTTGTGGTTGAGAGAGTAGTTGGGCTTGAAATCATTTGGGCTTCAGCATTTGGGGTTGGTGTTTGGTTTTGGGCTGCATTATTTAGGGTTGGTGTTTGGGTTTGGGCTTCATTATTTGAGGTTAGTGTTTGGTTTTGGGCTTGGGTCGAATTCAATAAATCCTCATCTTCAGTTTGTCGACCTGCAACAGAAATAGGGTGTAAAGAAGTACCTTCCAACAATGATTGCTCGTGTTGGTGAGAACGAGATGTCGTGGGGTCAAGTTACTGCGGTGGCAAAGACTTTGGTGGGACTATGATTGGTCGCTGAAGAGGGATTTTATCAACGACGGTGTGAGACTAATTTGTGGAGTAGATGAGATTGGCGACGATGTTTGGCTGAGATTGTGAAATGGGAAGACTCGCTCATCGAATTTGACATGTCGTGAGATATAGATGCGATTGGTGCTGGGCTGAAGACAAAGATAGGCACTCTGAATTGGAGAGTACCCGAGGAAGACACACGATGTTGAGCGATTCTCCAGTTTATTGTTGTTGTACGGACGAAGCCATGGAAAGCAGATGCATCCAAACACTCGGAGTTTCGTGTAATTCGGTGTGTCGCCAAAGATTTTGTGAAATGGTGAGTCCATCTGGAGCACCGGAGTTGGCAAGCGGTTGATCAGATAGGTTTCTGTAGCGAATGCGTAGGTCCAATAGGATTTTGGCATAACTCGCTTGCGTGAGTGAGAAGAGTCAACCCGGTTTCAACAATGTGGCGGTGCTTCCGTTCCGAGATGTCGTTGTGTTCAGGCGTGTGTGGTGGAGAAGTAAGGTGAGAGATTCCAGCGGCAGTAAGAAATGGGCGAAGTGCTATATATTCACCACCATTGTCTGAATAGAGAGTTTCAATTCTGCTGTTGAAGCGAGTCTCGACTAGAGCTTTGAATGGCTTGAACATGTCGATCACTTGAGATTTTTTTTTGAGAAGGTACAACCAGGTATAGCGAGTGTAGTGGTCGATGAGTATGAGATAGTATTTAAAGTTGTCACAGGATAAGATGAGAGACGACCAAACGTCAGAAAAAATGTATTCAAGCGGATGAGTTGATTTGATAGAGGATTGGTGAAAAGGGATTTTGTGACTTTTATTGATGGAGCAAGAAATACATAAAGAAGTTGAGGAAGATGAATGTGTGCAGGAAAGAGAGAAATTTGAGACAATTTGTTTGAGAATAGGTGAAGAAGGATGGCCTAGACGATAGTGCCAATCTTCGAAGGTTGTTTGGTGTGGATGCAAAGAACGAAGTAACAGGAGTTGTGGAAAGTGGCCACTCATAGAGATCACCATTTGTCTTGCCGCTGAGCAATAGGACCCCCGACATCAAGTCCTTCACCTAAAAATGAGCAGGGAAGAATTCCACAGACACCTTATTAATGTTGCATAATCGGTAAACATAAATCAGGTTTTTATGAATGTGAGGTACACACAGTATGTTGGTTAAGTTTAATTGACGGGAGGGAGTAGAGAGAGTTTTGGAACCAGTATGAGTTATCGAGAGGCCTGAACCATTGCCAATGAGAACATTGTCGCTGCCTGTGTAAGGTTGATGAAGGGACATGTTTTAAAGGTCACTCGTCATGTGATGTGTAGTTTCGCTGTCCATGAGCCAAGAGCTATGTTTGCTCTTGGTTGCCAGGGGCATTGAGAGTTCTGATTGGCGGTTATGTTGTTGTGCGCTTGAGGGAATTGAAGACATCATCTTGCGCTGTGACCAAAAATCCCACAAATCTGACACTTGCCTTGATATCCCTTGGTCATGCGTGAGTCTGATTTCTGACCATTGTACTGGCATTGTTGATTGTTGGAGCTCCAGGTTTGCTGGTACCTTGAATTGGATCTGCCACTAGAGTGGTTGTATGGGCGAGAGGTGGAAACATTCGCCGAGATAGGAGTATCTGAAGACGTGATTGTTGATGACATGAGCTTGGCTTCCTTGTTGAGCAATTTTTCATGGACCTCTGTGAGAGAAGGGGGTGTTTCACGGCCTTTAATTTGATCAACCACGATTTTATAATCTTCAGGTAACCCTTCTAATACATACTCGATCTGATCTTCAATATCAATAGGCTTTCCCAAGAGAGCGAGTTGATCAAAGCGAGTGATGAGATCGCGTATATATTCATCGATTGACATAGTACCTTTGGACCAATGTTTGAGCTGGTGTTTGATTTGTTTGATGTGCCCCCTACTTGGCTTTGCATAGGTTGAGGCAAGGATACGCCATATTTCAGCGGAGTTCTTCGAGGTAGAGAGAATGGGCTGGATTGTCAAGCAGATGGCACCAAGGAGACCACTATATATCAGTTTATCCTGGCGCTTCCACTGAGTATGGGCCGGATTGGGGGTTTGAACATTGTTGACCGTGATGGTTGACAGAGGTGGTGGAAGAGAGCCATCGAGATAGCCTGCGAGGTCTTCCCCACATGAAGAGGCTGTTGCGTTCATTTCCAATGCTTTGGGAGAACAAGTTCTTCACCTGCAGTAGTTACCATGCTCGCTACTCTTCAGTTTTCTTCTTCGTGGATTGTTAGATCTATTGTATCTATGGGAAAACATCTTTCCTATTGAAAACTTTTTCGTTGCATGTTTTCTATAGGTACTGATATAAGAATGAATTCCACCAAACTTAACACACTTGAATCAAGACTTTGAAGCTAGTTGATGGAGAGGTTAAATGATGATTGTAACCAGTTTGTATCCGATTCCACACACATTTTTTAGACTGTAACTTTCAAAAGCTTTTCTTCGCATGGACAGCTAGATTCTACACTAGAGTTTTAATTATTTGATTCCACAAATGCTTAGAAAACGTGTAGGAACAATTGATTCAAAGAAATCTTTTTTAAAGCAAGTAAAGCGATGTTCATTTTTATAAAAGTTTTGTAATGAAAATACAATGTAATGAGCTTATATAGTGCTCAAAATAAAGGACTTAAAACGAATAAGTAACTAAAACAAGCAAAGAATTTGGCCTAAATGAAGATATATTGTTAACTAGCCGTTTTGGCCTTAATGGGGGAATGGCTTGATTGGTGGTAATGAAAGAGGGACAAATGGATGTTTAGGATCTTTTTGAGAGGACGGAGGGCTGAGATTAGATGGAGAAGATGATCTTTAGTCAGACTTTTCTTTAAGAGCAAAGTAATTATGTCCATAAAAGGGAACTCTTGTCTTTGTTGTTTCTTCTTTAGTTTGAAATGATTTGCTTTGGTTATTGACTTGATTTAGTGATTTAGGACTCTTGGTATCTTCTATTGTCACCAAAGAATGTAAATAAAAGGTCTTGGTTGATGATGTCTTCATGGTTTCCGTATTTGGACTCGAAAATGCATATGTTGGCCCATATATGCATATGAGGGGCATTGGCGGGTTGTGTAGCATTTTAAACTGAACCGAGGGTAGTTTGACTTGAATAAAATGTCTTTCTTGGTATGTTGTATATCCTTCTTAGTACGTTGTGTACTTTGGTTTTGATCCCTTGCGTTGAATCCGATTGCATTTGCTGGTCCATTCTCCTTTAAGCTCTAGTTCAACTCCAATGTGGCTTCTCTTGACTGGTTCGGTCGGGTTGGTACTAATGTTTTTCATCAGGTACCATAAGATCAATATGAACAATTTGAAAGCATTTCCATCGTGTTTACTGCCTGGGATAGTAAATAATTCATATTACTAAATATTGTTTCACACGGAAAACAGTCTGGAGTATTTGGAATCGACGACAAAGCACATATTTGTAAAACTGGAGAACACGGGAAAAAACAAATAGTTTATGGATTCATCATCTGCCCAACATTTTGCGCATGAATTATCCACTCCTCAATGTTTATCTACCAGACGTCCACAAGTAGCAATGCAGCCCTAGAGCAAATGTTTTATTTTCCTCGAAGTTTTGGTTTCCCAAATCTTTAAAATCGTTGTGCTTGGATGTGGCTCTCTATATCCATGTCACAAGCTACTATGTATCCCGTTTTGACAGTGTAATTCCCCGACTTGGAGTATATCCAACAATAACTATCAATGTCAACCGTACGCAATAGTTTAAAGCTAAGGATTAGGGGGATATCTTCAGAGGTGATTTGGTTTATATAACATAAATATATAACCTCCATGTTTTATCAGATACAGTAATCACATTTTAAAGAATATATCATACAAATGTTTCCAAGAACAATACTGAAACACCCAAAACAACTTAAACCGGGGAAAAAAAACAGTCAAGCAACGTAGTAGATGCGTCTGTATTCATCAGAGTACTCGTCGCGGTTTAGGAACAATATCGCGTAGATCGCGTAGATTATTCCCGGAAGGTAGCCTAAGCAAGTGAGAACCAAACAAACGAAGAACTCTACCTGTAAATTTAAATCATAATAAGTTGGGGGGCGAAATTAAAATTTCATGATTTTATTTTCTAGTCCCTTCATTACTATTCTTCTTTAGAAAACAACCAAACAAAGTCAACAACATTAGAACGCACAAATCACATAATCAATTTCGATTCCGTTATTCAATTTCCGAAGCAAAAGGCTGTTTTCCGGTGAAATTTCAGAGATTAAGCTACGATTCTCTCACGAAATTAGAGATCTCAATTCTCAATTCGATAAAATTCGACGGAGAGAGAGAGAGAGAGAGATTAGGAGGTGAACTTACAGTGCAACAGCCATGCCTGAGACAAACTCCGACAGGAGGAAGAAGGATTGCGATCAGGATCTCGCAGCAAAGCTCGCAATTACTCGCCATTAATTTTACAGAGAGAGAGAGAGAGGAAGAGAGATGATGAGATCAGCTTGAAGACTTAACGAGGAAGAAGAGAGAAGAAACCTCTCGAAACGAAATATAGGTTTGTGAGTTGTCGTCGGGGTCCACCAGAGACGTAAATCAAAAATAATAAAAGGTAACAAAGAGTATTTACCGCGAGATCTTCACTGTTCATTTAGCGTGATTTATATATCCTACGGCGGAAATTTAGATTTTCAGTTTTCACCCCCTTATCTTTCTTCACACGCAATTCTTTTTTCTGTTTTAATAACTAAATTTCATTAAAATACCTGTATGCACAAATAATTATAAAGTTAAATACAAATTAAGATATAGATCGCAATTTATAATGCCATTCTTGAAATACCATGGTTTTGAATGTCATGCAAACTGTTCTTTTTTCTTACCACTAATGTATCAAAATATCGATCAGGGGTCATGTCATCACCATCTGTGACGATCAGACAGTGTCCCGACATTGTTACATTGACAACAAGCGCATCCGCAAAGCATCGACGTTCGTAATTGGCAGTAGCAGCGACTTCGATCTACAGATTGTTCATCACGACGAGAAGCCAAATAGCGATCTTATCGTCCAAGTCAACATCGATGCTGCTCACCCGGAACGTTGCGTCGGTATCGGCACGGAACTGTTGCCAAGCATGCAGGACGAGCTAATCAGTTTCCTCCGAGAAAACGTCGCAACGTTCGCGTGGTCCATGGCCGACATGAAGGACATTAGCCCTCGAATAACGAATCACGAATTGAACGTCGACCCCACTTTCAAGCTGATCAAGCAGAAGCAACGGAAGTTAGGACCTGAGCGAGCACAAGCCGTCCACGATGAAGTCGATAAACGGCTGAAGGCCAGATCAATCGCCGAAGTCAAGTATCCGGAGTGGCTCGCCAATCCGGTGGTAGTCAAGAAGAAAAACGGCAAGTGGCGAGTCTGCGTGGATTTCACCGACCTCAACAAAGCTTGCCCGAAGGACAGTTTCCCCCTTCCTCGTATCGATCAGCTCGTCGAGACTACCACGGGCAACGAACTACTCTCCTTCACGGATGCATTCTCGGGATACAACCAGATTCTCATGAATCCCGATGATAGTGAGAAGGCTGCATTCATTAGAGATCAAGAAACCTATTGCTACAAGGTCATGCCGTTTGGTTTGAAAAACGCTAGAGCCACCTATCAGCGCCTTGTCAACAAGATGTTCGCTGACCAGCTTGGGAAGACGATGGAGGTGTATATAGACGATATGCTCGTCAAATCGGCTAAAGTAGCCGACCATATTGTCCATCTGCGAGAATGCTTTCTTATACTGAACGAGTATGGCATGAAGCTCAATCCCACAAAATGCACATTCGCAGTCACTTCCGGCAAATTTCTAGGATACCTGGTCACTCAGCGTGGCATCGAAGCCAATCCTAAGCAGATCTCCGCGATCCTGGAACTACCCTCGCCAACTAACACTCGCGAAGTTCAGCGCCTAACAGGAAGGATAGCCGCGCTGAACAGATTCATATCTCGATCCACAGACAAGTGTCTCCCCTTCTACCAACTTCTACGAGGTAACAAGCGATTCGAGTGGGACAAAAAGTGTGAAGACGCGTTCCTGCAGCTCAAAACCTACCTCTCAACACTGCCGATCCTGGCCAAACCTGAGTATGACGACACTCTGCTACTCTACATAGCGGTTTCCAGCATGGCAATCAGCGGAGTCCTGGTTCGAGAGGACCGTGGGGAGCAGAAGCCGATCTTCTACTTCAGCAAAACCTTGGATGGTGCTGAGACTTGCTACCCGACCTTGGAAAAACTTGTTCTTGCTATGGTCATCACTTCCAGAAAGCTGCGACCTTATTTCTAATCTCATTCCATTGCCGTCATGACCAGCCAACCTCTTCGATCGATCCTGCACAGCCCGATGCAATCCGGCCGCATGGCGAAGTGGGCAATCGAGCTTTCCGAGTTTGATATCGAGTATCGAACGTGGACCTCCACGAAATCACAAGTATTGGTGGATTTTTTGATCGAACTGTCACCAGAGCTCTTGAACACCGACCCGGAAAATTCGGAGATATGGACACTACACGTCGACGGAGCATCGTCGCGCTTAGGAGCTGTCATCGGCATCTTGTTGGAATCTCCCACCGGAGAGCTCCTCGAGCAGTGTTTCTGTTTGGAGTTTAGTGCATCCAACAACGAAGCCGAATACGAAGCACTGATCGGAGGGCTTCGGCTAGCTCGGGGGATGAACATCCAACACATTCAGGCATTCTGTGATTCGCAGCTCGTCGCCAAGCAATTCAGTGGTGAGTACGACGTGAAAGACGATCGAATGGATGCCTACCTGAAGCTGGTCAAGCAGCTAGCCTCAGAGTTCAAGACTTTCGAACTACATCAAATTGACCGATCTACCAATACCGGCGCTGATGCCCTAGCTGTTATAGCATCGAACAGAGATTCAGCCCTTCGGAGAACTATTCCAGTTCAAGGAATATCCCAACCCAGCATAGTCCTGACCCAAGAAGTTCTCCAAATCACAGCCGATAAGGACGAAACCGTTCCTGTAGCAACCACTGACGACCAGCCAGCAGCAGATTGGCGAGTCGAGATCCGACGTTTCCTGGAAACTGGCGAGCTACCACTGGAGAAATGGGCAGCTCGGCGGATCCGTGCTCGAAGCGCCAAGTACACAGTCATCAAAGGTCTTTTATGCCGATGGACTGAATCAGGCATCCTTCTTACTTGTCTCCATGGCGACGAAGTTCAACGATGCATCAAGGACGTTCATGATGGTGCAGGTGGAAATCATTCCAGTGGACGAGCTCTGGCTCTGAAGATTAAGCGACAAGGCTTTTTCTGGCTGACCATGCAAGAAGACTGCGTCAAATATGCTCAGAAATGTGAGTACTGTCAGCAACACGCCCCGATGATCCATCAACCAACTGAATTTCTGACATCGGCAATCCCTCCTTACCCCTTCATGCGATGGGCAATGGACATCGTTGGACCAATGATCTCCTCTCGTCAACGCAAGTATGTGTTCATCATGACTGACTATTTCACCAAATGGATCGAAGCTAAGGCATTTGCCGACATCACCACCACCGAAGTACAAAACTTCATCTGGAGGTACATCATATGGCGACATGGTCTTCCCTACGAGATCGTCACTGATAACGGCCCCCAGTTCAGATCGAAGAAAATTCAAGCTTTCTGTGACAAGTGGAAGATTCGCCTCAACAAGTCGAGACCACGTCATCCACAAGGCAACGGACAAGCCGAAGCCACCAACAAGACAATCCTGGACGGCATTAAGAAGCGTCTCAATGCGAAGAAAGGTTTTTGAGCGGATGAATTGGACGGCGTACTTTGGTCTCATCGCACAACTCCGAGAACTGCAACCGGGAAGACTCCTTTTTCACTCGCGTACGGATGCGAAGCTATGGTCCCTGCGGAGATCAACGTCGGCAGCTTACGAAGAAGAGTACTCCCAAATATTCCTGAAGTAAACGCAACGATGCTGGTCGACAATATCGACATATTCGAAGAAACACGCAACCAAACGTTGCTTAGAATGCAGAACTACCGGAATCAGGCAGCTCGATACTACAACAAAAAAGTGCACAATCGACACTTCGACAAAGGTGACCTAGTCCTTCGAAAAGTCTACGAGAACACCAAAGAAGAGAATGCAAGGAAGCTCGGCGCAAACTGGGAAGGTCTGTACATCATCACTAACGTAGTGAAACCAGGAGTTTACCGGCCCGAAGCCTTGGACGGCGAGTTGATTCCACGAGCCTGGAACTCACTCAACCTCAAAAGATACTACAGTTAGATCGGCACCTCCTTGAGGTCGGCATCTTCAAAAAATAGGGGGGAATAGTCCCTATGAACTACGAAGCGGTTTGATCCCCGAAAGGGGTACGTAGGCAGCCTATCTTCGGATGGCGCAACTGCTCCCCCTCCTTAAAACGGGGGGAACTTCTAATTTTCAGCTTTTTGAAGTTCAGTTTGTAGGTCCTTACTTTTGATTCAATAAAAAGCAACTTTTCTGAAAATATCATGTTCATTATCATATCGGCATCCTGGCCAGATGCTCGATCCGCCTAAAGCTAAAGTCTGATCCACTTTAGCTCGGCAACTTAAAAGCCAAGTCCGTCTTGTATTTTACAGTTTTACCTCTTTCAATATATCCGAGCCATGCATTGTTGTCAGCCAAGTCAGTCTTGCGTCCGCATTTGACCCGGATACTTCTAAGTGGTACCGATGAATCGACACCGACCTGAATCGCACATCGAGTATTCAAACTTAGAAGAGAAGTGGTACGAACAATCATAAGCCGGGCCTCCCGCACGTTCGTATTCACACTTCAATATGCAAGCCAGAATCCGCACTGCAATTCTTAAGTCATGCGAAATTAGTAAGCCGAATTGGTCGCAGTTCGTATTCAACTTAAGAATTTTCTAAGTATGGAATATATGCCGATCTCATTCGCTTATTCGTTCAATACTTAGAAATTTAAATCGCATAAACTTAAGCCGATATCGCATCGCCGTTGTGTTCAGATTCTCAAAACTCATTATCATTAATGCTCAGATTCTTATAACTCTTTCATTAATTTAAGCCAGAACGGCACAAGATTACATAGTACGTAAACAACAAAAGTAACAAGGAAAAACTAGTCTTCGGCCTCTTCCTGGATCTCTTCCTGTTCGGCTTCGCCACTTCTTGTCCAAAAGCAAGCTTTTCCTCTTCAGCGGCCTTCAGCTCGGCCTCCAGCTTCCTTTGTGAGTGCCCTTTCCTTTTTATGGCTTTTACTGCTCGGTTGAGCAGTTTGCTTTTCTCGGCATCGTCAGCACGCACCTTCTCCAGCTCCTCGGAAGATTTTTGAAGTGCGGCTTCCAGCTCAGCCCTCCTTCCCCGTTCGGCCTCGAGAGCTTCCTTGAGACCCTAAGTTTCGGCCTCTTCGGCCAGGCGTTTCTTCGCGTCCCGGTCGTATTCGTTCATAACGGTCAATGCCGTGCTCAAGGCCTATATGCACAAAGATATCAGCATTCAGAATCATTATATGCAAGAAAATTACAAAGGGTCAT